GGGCAGTTCTACTCTGTCCTTCCTATAGGGTCCCTATAGTCAGAATCAACTCGATGGCAATGGGTTTTGTATTTTTTTTTAAGGTTACCAATCTGCTCATTGCACCCCTACTCAGAAACCTGTTAGTCATCCTAGTCTATTTTCCTTCTCCCTCCTGGCCAACTAAACACCATGGCATGTGCACATTTTACCTCCAAGTGTTTCTCGAGTTCTTCCTCTCCTCCCCATCCTTACTGTCACTGCCACAGCTTAGGCCATCATTATCTTGAGCCTAGACTGATACAATAGTCTCCTAGCTGGTCTTCCTATTTCTAGTCTTCTTCCTGGAACCCTCCCACAATACACTTTAAATCAGGGATCCTCCACTTCAGCACTATTGACATCTTGCTAAATCTTTATTGTGGAGGCCTACCATCTGCACTGTAAGATGTTTAGAAGCATCGCTGGCCTCTACCCACTAGATGTCAGTAACACATTCCCAACTGTATCCTGCAGAACAAACTCCCTCTGGCTGAGAACTACTGCTTTAAATGCATTCTATGCAGAGCAGCCAGGGGGATATATACAAATCAGCGGGTCCCTCTCCTGCTTCCTGCCTGCATTAGCTCCAGATTACCCTCACGAGGAATCCCAAGCTCCTGAGTGAGATAAGTTCTGGGCCTTGCCAAGCTCTCTAGTCCTGTCTCCCTCCTCCATTTCTTGCCTCACACTTTTTGCTCTTTGTTGTTGTTGCTAGGTGCCTTTGAGTTGGTTCTTGCAGCGCGATTAATTACTTTTGTGTGTGACCTTTCTAGCCATGGTCTTGTAACTCCCGCTCAGGTGATTGTGATAGGTAATTGTGGCCTACCAAGGGGACTGGTCAGTTTTGCCTTAAAAGAGAGCCAATTCCAGAGCAGAGGGGAGGTGTCCACCACCACCAAGGAAGGAGAGACCAGCAGGAAAGACCCAGCAGCAGAGAACCGATAGCAGGAGACTGTGTGGTGGGCTTCCTGGCCCACGGAGAGAGAAAGCTGAGTGACTTTGGGCAGAGGCCTAGGGCCAGGGAGAGGCATACCTTCGAGCACGGCTGGGGAGAGGCTGTCCTGATGAAAGAAATGTATCCTGAGTGTTCCTGAGCCTGAACTGTAATGATTACTTCCCTTATAATAAACCCTATAATTGTGTATGGTCTTTGAGTTCTGTGTGGCCACTGTAATGAATTATCAAACCCAGCAGAGAAGTAGAGAGTGCTGTGTGAGGGATGGTTGGTGTCAGAATTAGTAAAGATGGTGGAGAAAGGAGGCTTGTCTGGCCTCCACCTCATGGGAGTCAGCCTTGCACTGTTGATCTTGGTTCTTTTGCCCCCTTGTGGGGCTGAAGGAGGTCAGACACTGCCCCTAAGCCATTTTTACAGTTCTGACTCATAGTGACTGCATATACAAAGTAACGAAACACTGGCCAGTCCTGCACCATCCTCACAATTGTTGCTATGTTTGAGGCCATTGTTGCAGCCACTGTGTCAATCCATCTAGTTGAGGGTCTTCCTCTTTTTCGCTGACCCTCCACTTTACCAAGCATGATGTCCTTCTCCAGGGACTGGTCTCTTCTGATAACATGTCCAAAGTATGTGAGACATAGTCTCACCATCCTTGCTTCTAAGGAGCATTCTGGCTGTACTTCTTCCAAGACAGATTTGTTCATTCTTCTGGCAGTTCATGGTATATTCAATATTCTTCACCAACACCATGATTCAAAGGCATCAATTCTTCTTCGGTCTTCCTTATTCATTGCCCTGCTTTCACATGCATATGAGGTGATTGAAAATACCATGGCTTGGGTCATGTGCACCTTTAGTCCCCAAGGTGTCATCTTTGCTTTTTAACACTTTAAAGAGGTCTTTTGCAGCAGATTGGCCCAATGTAATATATTGTTTGATTTCTTGACTGCTGCTTCCATGGACGTTGATTGTGGATCTAAGTAAAATGAAATCCTTCACAACTTCAGCCTTTTCTCCATTTATCATGATGTCACTTATTGGTCCAGTTGTGAGGATTTTTGTTTTATGTTGAAGTGTAATCCATACTGAAGGCTGTGGTCTTTGATCTTCATCAGTAGATACTTCAAGTCCTCTTCGATTTCAGCAAGCAAAGTTGTGTCATCTGCATACCGCAGGTTGTTAGTAAGTCTTCCTCTAATCCTGATGCTGAGTTCTTCTTCATATAGTCCAGCTTCTCGGATTACTTGCTCAGCATACAGATTGAATAAGTATGGTGAAAGGATACAACCCTGATGCACACCTTTCCTGATTTTAAACCATGCAGTATCCCCTCGTTCTGTTTGAACGACTGCCTCTTGGTCTATGTACAGGTTTCTTATGAGCACAATTAAATGTTCTGGAATTCTCATTCTTTCCAATGTTATCCATAATTTGTTATGATCCACACAGTAGATGCCTTTGCATAGTCAATAACCCATTGCCATCCAGTCGATTCCGATTCATAGTGACCCTATAGGACAGGTTAGAACTGCCTCATAGGGTTTCCAAGGAGTGGCTGGTGGATTTGAACTGCTGACATTTTGATTAGCAGCCGAGCTCTTAACCACTGTGCCACCAGAGTTCCTGCATAGTCAGTAAAACACAGGTAAACATCTTTCTGGTATTCTCTGCTTTCGGCCAAGATCCATCTGATACCAGCAATGATATACCTTATTCTACATCTTCTTCTGAATCCAGCTTGAATCTCTGGCAGTTCCTGTCGATGTACTGCTGCAACTGCTTTTGAATGATCTTCAGCAAAATTTTACTTGTATGTGATATTGACATTGTTTGATAATTTCTGCATTCTGTTGATCACCTTTCTTTGGAATGGGCACAAATATGGATCTCTTCCAGTCAGTTGGCCAAGTGCAGAACTACTTGTAGATCTTTCCCACACAGCAAGTTTCATGTCTCCACTCATGCTTTTCCCTTGGCCTAGCATGGTCTTCCCTTTCACCCCAACCTGTAAGCCTGGGTGAATCCCCCTGCCCTTTCCCCTGGGTTCCCACAGCACCTCCTGCAAGCTTCTATCATAGCTCCTGGAGGGCAGGGGTGTGTCTTATTCCAATCTGTAGCACAGTGCCTGGCAGGTAGCAGTTACTCAGCTGATTTTTATTGAAGTGAACCACGAAGTTCAGTTAAAGTGCATTAGATTGGGACTCAGAACACCTGGGTTGTCCTAGTTTTGCCACTAAATGATAGCTTCCCATCTCTGAAACTGTTTGTCTGAGGAATCAGTTTGGACCAAGGGCCCAAGGTTTGGTCTAAGGGTCTTTTCTAAGTTTGAATTGCTATGATTCTAAAGTTTTGTTTTTTTTTTCCTGGTAAATATTCCATTAAAAATGTTTCCAAGCAAAAGGTGAGGTCATCCTCTTGCCAAAAATCGAGATCCAGGCCACATAGCACCACTATAATCTTCTAGCTTCAACGTGTTATAATCTGGTTCACTCCCTGACAGCAAAATGTAAGGCTCAATTCCATTACTGAACACTTTAATCAAAGATTCTATAGAAGAATCCTGATCAAAGGGGGGAAAATGCAAAACAATTTCGAATTCTCATCGACTCTAGACTTCCCTGGAACCATGGAGGCTGGATGAACCCCTGAAACTATTGCTCTGAGATAATGTTTAAACCTTAAACCAAACACATCCCCTGAAGTCTTCTTAAAACCAAACAACAGTTTAGCTTAACTAGTAAAAAATGTTTACCTTGAGCATTATGCTCTTTTAAGAACTATCTATATGGGATCAAATTGACAACAGCAACTTGAAAGATTAGATAGGAACCTTAGTGGGCAGTGAGTTTGTTAATGAGGGAGGAACAACTTGAAGAACGTAATCAGTGTCACTGAATTGTACATGTAGATACTGTTGAACTGGTATACGTTTTGCTGTGTATATTCTGAACAAAAAAATAAAATTTCTAAAAAATTAAGGTCCATTTATAAGTCATTTGATATTTTCCATAGCAAATGCCACAGAAAGGGAGGTTAAGAATTTGGACCTGAAAGCTGAACCTGACCAACTGATTCTTACCTGTCATTTTATAACCCCTCACCATACAGCCCTGCAATTCATCTAAGGACATAAACTTAGTTGATGACCTCCCCTCCCCCACAAATGGTTGCTGTGTCTGCTCTACACTGAAAGAAAAACCAATGTTTAAGCATAGGCTATGTCTTAGATACCATACAGAATGCATGAAAGTTGAAGGTGCAATCTGTTTTAAAACTGTCCTAACCAAAAATTTTAAACACTTTATAAGATTCATCCAGAAAAGGAACTACAAAAAAACTTTTCCTGTATTCTTCTAGTAAAACATTTAATTGTTGTAGTTTAAGTGAAAGTTTGTAATTCAAGTTAGTCTTTCATACAAAAACTTATAGTTATGTGACCCTAACTGCTCTCCCTATACTGTGACAGCACACTCCTCCTCTCCACCCCGGCTTCCCCATGTCCATTTAACCAGCTCCTGACCCCTGCCTTCTCATCTCACCTCTGGACAGAAGCTGCCCATTTATTCTCAAGTATCTACTTGAGCTAAGAAGCACTCTTCACAAGTATCATTTTATGTCCCATAGTCCAGTCTAATCTTTCACTGAAGGGTTGGCCTCAGGAATGGTTTTAGTTCTGGGTTGACAGAGTCCGGGGGCCATGCTTTCTGGGGTTCCTCCAGTCTCAGATCATTAAGTCTGGTCTTTTTTACTAGAATTTGAGTTCTGCACCCTGCTTTTCTCCTGCTCCATCAGGGACTCTCTGTTGCGTTCCCTGTCATGAAACAATGGTTTTTAACATACTAATATCCGTAACAACAGTAGCAACTACCATTTGTGAAGATTTAGGTGCTAGACATAGTGATAGGTACTTCGTTTACCTATGTCTAATTTTACAAGCCTCAGTTGCCTTCTAGTTTAAGTGATAAAAGCTACTGAATAGATTGCTTGATCTTGTGTAGTTCTGTTAAGAAAAAGTAAAGAAAACTTTGGTTTTTCTTTGTCATTTTATTTTTATTAAGCACTACATAACGCACTACATAATACATTGCATAAGCTTCTGCAGCAGGGGTAGGTGAGCATAACTGAGTTGTTTTTTCACCAGTCAGAACAATGCTTCCTTAGTCAATGTTCTCCAAGCCCTGAAAAACAGATTTTAAAAAGAAATTGTGAGAATTCTGTTCTCCCCAAAAGTATAAGATCTCTTATTTGCAGTCACCCAACAGCATTCTCTATCTGCTATGATAGTTAAGATTTACATGTGAATAAAGGACTTGAAGGTGGGCTTGAGGATTTACAAATTCACACATGGAAAAATACAAGTATAAAAAAACAAAATCGATCTAAAAGGAAGAGAAGACAGTTCTTTCACACCCCAGATTTCTCCAACTGCAACAATAAACTGGATTCCATTCTATATTCACTAAAGTAAAAAGAACTATCATTAATTCCAGTTTTCATTTCTGATAGCAGCAAACATACCACTTTATCTGAAAAGCTCCCCCCCTCCACTGCAATTACAGTTAAGCAACAACTTAACATCTGGATCCTTATATAAAGCACCCTCAGTGAGTTAGAGAAAAATAAGGTAAAATCCATTTTATAAAATAACAGTTAACATGAGGTAGATACTATTATCTGCATTCTACTTTTGTACAGATGAAGAAATGGAAGCTTAAGAGAGGTTAAAAGTCACTTGCACAAGTCAGCAAGGAAGTAGCAAAGTCAGAATTCAAGTCCAGGCACCCCAACTCCAGAACCCTTGACTTGTAATCACTACACTATTTTAAGACCCACAACCAATATTCCATTATCTCTTGGTCAGTTATAATCAAATACTTCAAAAGCTATAAAAGATTAATCAATGGCAACAGGTGCTAAAGTAACAAAGTCTAGGTATTTTGTTTATTGTGGGAAGAATCACCTGGAAAGAAGTTAGAATCGCATATTCCTAGAACCCATCTCTTAGAAATCCTAATTCATTTGGTCTGGCCAGGAGCCTAGGAATCTGTATTTTCTCTGATAGGCCAGGTGATTCCAATGGAGGTGATTCTTGGACCATCCTATGGGAAACACTGCTCTAGATGAGTGGATATTTATGATCACATTTATTAGACCAGATTGTCTCAAATATCAGCACTATATTGAGAGGCACATCAACTAGGTTGAGTCCTTATAATGTTATTTAATCACACTAATCCTGTTTTCTCAACTATAAGATGAAAATAATATTTACCTCAGGTTCAATATGAAGAATTAATGAGAAAGGAGAAAATATAAAAGAGTAGATAAAAACTTGTAAAACATACTATTAGGTTAAACCACATGAAAAATGACCATTCCTGACCTATAAAAACAGCAATTTCATATGATCCAATCAAATATAAAATTATGATGATTCTTTAAATGTGGTATTGGTGCAGGAATCCATAGACCAACGGAGTATAGACCAGCACATCTGTGAAATAGGCCCATGAACATATGAAAATTTAGTTTACTAGGATAGTACATCGAATAAAAAATGGACTATTCTATAAACAGATGATTGTGATAACTGGCTACCTCTTGGAGGAAAAAAAGTTAAATCTTCACTTTACATTACACATTATACCCCAAAATAAATTGTAGATGGATCAAAGAACTAAATGGGGAAAAAACCTGTATCAGTATTTGGAGAAATTACAGGAATATACTTTTATAATCTTGGGTAGAAACCCAGAATCCAGAATGATAAAACTTGATAAACGGAACATCAAAATTAAACACTACTATTGGAGCCCTCGTTGCACAGTGGTTAAGAGCTCGGCTGCTAACCAAAAAGGTCAGCAGTTCGAATCCACCAGCTGCTCCTTGGAAACCCTATGGGGCAGTTCTACTCTGTCCTATAAGGTCGCTATGAGTCGGAATCAACTCAACAGCAACAGGTATGGTTTTTTGTTTGGTTATACAATGAAAGACATCATGAAGTGAAAAAGACAAGCAACAAATTGGGAAAAATATTTGCCATATGTAAAACAGACAAAAGATTAATATCCAGAATATATAAAGAACTCCTATGAATCAAAAAGAAAAAGACAAATAAAAATGAACAGAGAAAGGATACGGGCCTGGAGATCTGCTTCCAAAAACTTAGCCGTTGAAAACCCTATGGAATGTAGTTCTACTCTGACACACATGGGGTTGCTATAAGTCAGAATCGACTCCACAGCAAGTGGTATTTTTGTTTTAGGTTTTGTTCATTTAATTAGGCAAAAATTAAAATGGATAATATCTAATGTTGGTGAGGATGAGAGGAAGCAGGTACTCTCATATTTGGTTGCTGGAAGTAGAATTTGATACAATCTTTCTGAACGGCAACATGGCAGTATCCCTCAACATTTAAAAGGCACTTCACCTTTGCCCAACCATTCCACTCCTAGGAATTAATCCTACAAAAATACCCATACTCTCATTTCAGGCACCACCCTGGGTCCCCAGGCCTCCCACCCTGCAAAGGTCATCTCCTTTCTGGAATACTCTCATGTGCCCAGTTCTGCACTCCTCAGGTAAAGAAAGGTTCCTGCCTGATTCCAGACTGCTCAGAGGAAAATCAGAAAATAAAACCTACAGGCAAATATCAATGAATCACAGATTATTCTGCCTAGAGAAGAGAAAGCTGAGGAAGAACTCCAGAGTAGCATGGTCACAGATGTTCTTCACAGAGGACTAAACAAGTGAGGAAGGCAGTGATGTGTGAGTAAATGCTTAACAACTGGCCCTCCTGGGGAAAAATGCAGGTGTGTATATGTATCTGTTATAAATTTTACTGAAATAAAGTATGTGTATGACACAATGTACAAATAATAATAAAATAGGTAATATTCTTCACTGTAAGTCCCATGTAGCTGATTTTCACAGAATGCTTTCCTTGGTTTTTCCCAAACTTTTCTATCTGTTGCTAACCCATGGTTGCAATTCACCTATGATATGACAAGTGGAGTTGCATCCCAAGTCACTAACTCTTTTCCCAATTAACTCACTGTCATTAAAACAAAAAAACACAAATGTGCCTAAAGAAGGCAAGTGCTAGAACTTTCACTGCAGTATTATTTGATCAAAAAATAAAAATAAAAATAAAAAAGGAAATACCTCAAGTATTCTTCCACCAATAGAAGAATAAGCTATGATTATCTGTGGGACTTGTGCATCAAATACCTATGATGCACACTTTCTGTCAGGGATTAAAACGGCACTATCATTTCTTCTTATGATCAGCTACGGTCTATGTTAAATATAACTTTAGATGATTCTTTAGGTGTTTCACACCACAGTAAAAAGAATGTAGACGAGGGTTTCTCAACCTTGGCACTACTGATTTTTTAGACCAGATGATCCTTTGTTGTGGGGGCCTGTCCTACGCATTATAGGAATGTTTCACAGCATCTCTGGTCTCCACCCATTAGGTGCCAGTAGCACACCCCCCCAAGTTGTGACAACCAAAAACATCTCCAAACATTGCCAAATGTCACCTTGGGGGCAAAACCATCGCCGGTTGAGAACCACTGATATAGACCTATATGTACTCATGAGGGAAGATCTCATCTCCAAGATGTACTATTAGATAATAATAAAAGAATAATATGTACAGGATGATACCATTTGTTTTTTTAAAAAAACTATTATTTATAAGTAACATGCATATGTACGGGAATGCACAGAAAAAAAGTCCAGAAGGATACATAACAAATTGAAAACAATGGTTACCTAGGGAGAAAGGAGTAGGACTGCTTGGATATCTATGCATGTTAGGGTGCGGGAGAAAAAGGGCCGTTGCTTTTTACTCTTTGTATTCTCAAAATTTTATACAATGCATTCATAAATTACTTACATAATTTAAAAAAAAAGAAGTTAAATGAACTTGGATAAAGCACTCTGTAGACGGTAGGGCACTGAACAAATCTAAGCTCTCATATCAGCTGCCAAAAGGGATTTAGACTGGTGTTTGATTGTACTTGGCTCATGATTTCATCCACAAACAAGTACCTATGATGCACAATTTCTGTCAGGGATTAAAACAACACTATCGTTTCTCCTTATGATCAACTACAGTCTATGTTAAATATAATGTTAGATGATTCCTTAGGATAAAGTACTTCTTCCACTGCGATTCAGAAGGTACTATCAATTAGTCTTTATGTGTATTCAAAATCTCAAGAAGCAGCATTAGGCTCAGCTAAAGTAAAATTAAAGTGATCTGACCATCAAGTCCAAAACTACAGACTAAAACAACTCACCAAATTCCACGTTCTCCCCTCTCTATCAGCACTGTACCTTCTCTTTTATTCCCCACGGTATCTTAGGGCTTATTTCCTTCACTTCCATCTTAAGTCTATTGACACTTTGTGTTTTCCCTTGGTTTTGATACACACACCCTTTGATCTGGTGTAAAAAACGTCTGCCCAGATATCAATCTGCATTTCCCCTAGATTATGGCTTCTAACCAGACTTTTATATTTCCATGAAAGATACTATGGTTAGATTTTGGGGTACTAACAGTTTTGTAGATAGATTATTGAAATGGAAATAAACTGCTGTCAAATGCTAACAGTAAACTGATGGTAAATGTACTGTTTCAAGGAATTTCAGATTACAGTATTTACAGATTTTAAGATCTACATTACATTATCTAGGTATCACTGAATTCAAGTCCATAACTTCCAATGCCCCTGAGCCAAATAAACCTTAAAAAAAAAAAAGACAACTTAAAAATTAACCAGAAGGGAAGGAAACAGTCATTGAGCTTCTATCAAAGATAATGCTGAGCTCCTCACACAGGTATCAAATACTGTCATACCACAAAAACTCTATCAGGTAGGCTTTAACAGTTTTGTCCTACAACTGAGGAAACAGAGAGTTAGACCAAAAAAAAAAAACCTAAGTAGAGCAGAGATTCAAATACAAGTTTGTCCAACTCTAAAGCTCATGTATTTCCCACTTGGATACACAAATTAGTCCTTTTAATTGATCCTCTTTTCCTTTCACTAATATACCACTGTCAGTTGGATTATATTTTTAAAATCAAACTTTGGGGCTTACAGAATTTACAATGTTTAAAAACGTACATATTTATACAGAAAACAAGTGGTCAAAAACTAGTCTCCTGCATTACACAGGCCAGTAAAATCTCAGAAACAATTTGGGAAGTGACAACAGCATTACCAATTTTTTATTTTGACATTATGAGGTCATGAAAAAACTACCAACTGGACAGGTAGTATACTGCAGGAGCTAAAGACACAGGCTATGGTTCAAATCTCAGCTCTACCACTTCCTTACCAGCTCATGACCTGGGACAAGGCATTACCAGAACCCACCTCAACCCTGACAGATGGTTGGCATCACGGTCATCTTACCTTTGATACATAATAACAATTCACCCCAGAGACCCGCCTATCTCTTTCCATCAAACTCCACTGATATGGAAAATGGGCAATCCTTTTCTCCTACAAATAAAAAACAATTATTATCACACTGTATAAAGATGATAGACCCAATTGATGAATATTAGAACTTTAAAAAAGTAACATTCTAGAAAAAAGGATCACCGAAATATAAACCAAATTAACAAAACCATAATCTCCTAAATAAAAACCAGACCACTAAATTTTAAAGATGGTAAACATGACTTCTTACACCTTTCTATTTTAATCAGCATCACTGTCTTTATGTCTTTCCTTTTTTATGAGAATAATTTACTCGTTACCCTTTTATGACTCCAATGAGCAAAAACAATAGCGGTGGGTAACATGTGAAGGACAATCAAAAACCAGAAAGCAAGTAATTTTGTTCTATGACTGTATTCTAGAGATGACGTGAAGGGCTAGGAAGAGGGAAAAAATTAAAACCTGATGAGAAAAACGGTGTCTTGTGGTAAATTCCTAAAGACTTGCAAGAGAAAACAGGGAATTAAAAACGTCAAGGGAAAAACCAAATTAAGAGTAATGCGGATGCGAGAAATCAAAATCAAAACCGAGCAAGAAAGAAGAGAGATTAGCGATCGGGGGGAGTGAGAACAAGACTAATCTCTCCCTTGTTTAGGAGTTTGGACCCACCTCTTCTCATCTCCTAATCTCTACTCTGCCTTTTTGCCCACTCTCCTGTGAAAAGCAACTAGCTGTTTCTTGCTGGAATAAGATGCGGTTTCTATCGGACTTCATTCCGCAAGTATCCGCTTTCAGGCAACACTAAAAAAAGAGGAGAGCCGACCTTGGTATTCCCCACCTGAGAGAGAAGCACCGGATCCTAAGGGCCTCCCTGACCAGCCAGTGTGCAGTGTCGGCGCTGAGAGTGGGGAAGCCGCCTTACCTTTCCCCCGTGACTGAATTTGTGCATGTGCGCAGTGATCACTCCTGGGATGAGCAAACACGTTGTCATGACGGCAATTCCGGGGAGAATCTCGAACCACATCGCGACAGAGCCCCTTCTAGAACACTTAAAGGTGACCCGGTCCGGCTCCTTTCCCGGTAAACTCCGCGGCGCTCCACGAGCGAGGAAGCGTCACGCACTTCTCCGGAGGAAGCGACGGAGTCCGGTAGGGCTCAAGAGTGTGCGCGATCACGCCCTCGCGCTTTAGTGCTTTCGCCGGCCTGTTTTCCTCCGACACGGAACAGAGCGCAGGGCGTGCAGTGATGTGACAGGGCCTGCGCTTTCCTGCACGCTGGAGCTGTTTTGGAGCTCGGTACTCCAAAATGGCAGAGCAACTTTCTCCAAGAAAGACGGCAGACCAGGTATGCACCTTCCTTTTCAAAAAGCCTGGAGGAAAACGTGCTGCAGGCCGCAGAAAGCGCCCTGCCTGCGACCGAGATCCCGGAGAAAGCAGCAGCAGTAGTGAGGAAGGCTGCACTGTGGTTCGCCCGGAAAAGAAGCGGACGATCCACAATCCGATGATACAGAAGACGCGTGGCAGCGGTAAACAAAAGGCAGTTTACCGCGACTTGAGTAGCGAGGAGGAGAATGAGCCCGAGAGTCTCGGCGTGGTCTACAAGTCCACCCGCTCAGCGAAACCCGTGGGGCCGGAGGATATGGGTGCAACCGCTGTCTATGAACTAGACACAGAGAAAGAGCGTGACGCACAAGCCATCTTTGAGCGCAGCCAGAAGATCCAGGATGAGCTGAGGGGCAAGGAAGATGACAAGATCTACCGGGGAATCAACAATTATCAGAAATACATGAAGCCCAAGGATACGTCTATGGGCAATGCCTCCTCGGGGATGGTCAGGAAGGGCCCCATCCGAGCTCCCGAGCATCTACGTGCCACGGTGCGCTGGGATTACCAGCCCGACATCTGTAAAGACTACAAAGAGACCGGCTTCTGCGGCTTCGGAGACAGCTGCAAATTCCTCCATGATCGTTCAGATTACAAGCATGGGTGGCAGATCGAACGTGAGCTTGATGAGGGTCGCTATGGTATCTATGATGACGAAAACTATGAAGTGGGAAGCGATGACGAGGAAATACCATTCAAGTGTTTCATCTGTCGCCAGACCTTCCAAAACCCAGTTGTCACCAAGTGCAGGCATTATTTCTGCGAAGGCTGTGCACTGCAGCATTTCCGCACCACCCCACGTTGCTTTGTCTGTGACCAGCAGACCAATGGCGTCTTCAATCCAGCGAAAGAATTGATTGCCAAACTGGAGAAGAATAGAGCTGCAGGAGAGGGTGGTGCTTCCGATTTCCCAGAAGACCCCAGTGAGGATCCAATTCCCATTATTTAAGTGTCTCATATTCTCCAATCTCAGAATAAATGTTTTGTTGTTTTGGAATCTTAATTGTGTCCTTCCTTTTTAGGGATAGTGACTTAGAGGAGAAGGCAGGTAGTGAAGTAGGGTCCTGAATGACTTGCAAAAGCATCAAGGTAGGTATAACCTGGATTTTAAGCCCTGAGATAAACACTTTATCTGTGTGTAACATATACTTTTCAGAACCTTTTGGCATAGATTATGGGGATGGGATTTTGAAGTTCGAGAAAAGAGCAAGAACTTGGTTGAAGTAACCAAGGCTGTGATGGAAGCAAGAACTGGACCTATTTATTATATCACATTTCTGTATCACTTAGTAGCTTGCTAAGTATGTTCATACATCTTTGTTGGGAGCCCTGAGGGCCTGTACTAACTTCAAAATGCACCAGAGCCAAGATGTGTGATTGGGGGTGGAAGGGAGGATGGGGTTGAGAGAGGTAGCTAGCACCACAGGGTGCATGTATGGTAAGTGGTCCTTGTTCTCTTTGAAGCACCTATAGGTAATCCCCCCTACCCTTTAATAGATGATGGAAATAGTCTATGCTGTGCTGTCCAGTATGATAGCTACTAGCCACATGTGGCTATCGAGCACTTGAAATGTTGCTCATGGCCAAATATTGGACATCGCAGTTCTAGACTAAACTTGTGAACCTGCAGAAGGCAAAAACCTAATATTTTACAACTCACTGTCTGAAATTACCTGTGTTCTCAGAGACTATAATAGAGCTGGTCATGTCCCAATAAAGTTAATCTGTGTACCTCTCTTCAAACTACTTTGTGAACTCCTTCAGTGACTAGCCCAGTGCTTATTAAATAATCTCAGAGAGGTCTGAAAAGGGAGATTGGGGCCAAAGCCTTGAATGCCAAGCTAAGGAGCTTTGACTGTATTTCTGTAGATAATGAGGAGATAGCAGAGGTTTAGGGAAGGGAACACAGACTATTTTTAATATTATGATTGCAAGTGGAGCCCTGGTGGTGCAGTGGTTAGGAGCTCAGATGCTAACCAAAAAGGTCGGCAGTTTGGATCAACCAGCTGCTCCTTGGAAACCCTATGGGCAGTTCTACTCTGTCCTATAGGGTAGCTATGAGTTGGAATCGACTCGATGGCAGTGGGTATGGGTGGCTGCAAGCTATAGGATGGATTGCAGAAAGATGGAAGACAAGAAGCAGGGAGGCCAGTTAGGCCAAATCATTAATACATGTTTATTGATCGAACTAGAACTTGGGCTTATTCCAGGAAACAGATGCAAGAATAAGTTGTGGGGTAGAGTGTCTTTTACTCATATTCATTAATCCATTTAAAGATATTCTTTGAGCAGCTGCTGTGCCAGGCACTGTGCCTGGCATAGGGGATGTTAGCAGCTTTTGCCCTGAGGCAGGAGAGTGCCTGTTAAGTCCTAGGAACAGTGAAGAAGTCTGTAATTGAAGTGAACTGAAGGAAGAGGAAAGAAATATTAGGTAAGAGAAGTAATGGAGGCAGGGGGCAGGCTGTGTACAGCCTTATAAGCCATTGTAAGGACTTGGCCAGGCCCCTTCCCACCGGCTCCAGACCCCTGCTGCTACCCACCACAGCCCCAAGGGGACCCTGCCCAGAGCTCAGACCCCTTTCCGCCAGCTCTGGACCCGTCCAGCCACCCTCAGGGGCCCCAAGGGGACCTGGCCTATACCCCAGGCCCTTTCCTGCCAGCTCTAGACCCCGCCACCTGCTGTGGCACCCAGGCGTATCACAAAAGAGTTCACTGGGCTGATCTCTCAGAATTAACCCAATCTCTACTTTAGAAGACTTCAGAGACATAAACTCACTTCGGACAATGTGATACATTCTATAACAAAGAATATAAAAAGTAAGATGGGGACACCTGAGAAATTGTCTACTGGGAAAAGTGTTTAAGAAAGCCTCATAGGGGGCAGTGGTGGTTCAATGGCAGAATTCTCGCCTTCCATGTGGGAGAACAGGGTTCAATTCCCAGCCAATGCACCTCGTGTGGCTATCACCTGCCTGTCAGTGAAGGCTTGTGTGTTGCTATGATGCTGAACAGGTTTCAGCAGAGCTTCCAGACTTAAGACAAACTAGGAAGAAAGTCCTGGTGATCTACTTCTGAATATCAGCCAATGAAAACCCTATGGATCCACAGCCAATTATTGTAATTGCTGTCAGTACATTGTACATCTGTAAAAAGTTGAATTGGAAAAAGCTGTGTGATAGATATATTTACAATGGAAAAAAATAGTAGCTGCTGAGGCTGCTCATGTACAACCAAAAACCTCATGGATTTGGTTCCTTGGTTTAGGGTCATGGTTCCATGAGGCAGCCCAGTTAATTGGCCTAATAACAAGTTTAGTGCTTCTGTTCTACCTCCTAGTTCATTGCATAGTGCCTGGGGTCTTAAAAGCTTTCAAGCAACCATCCAAGGCACAATTGGTCTCTATTCACCTGGAGCAACAGAGAAAGGAGAGTTGGGAATAGGAGGAGGATATGGAATGTGGGGTTAATTGCCTCCATGAACAACTGCCTCCTTTGCCATGAGACCAGAAGAACTGGGTGGTGCCTAGCTACCACTACTGAACACTTTGATCAACGATTCTATAGAAGAATCCTGATCAAAGGGGGGATGGGGGAATGCAGAACAGTATTTCAAATTCTCATGGAATCCAGACTTTCCGGATCCATGGAGGCTGGAAGAACCCCTGAAACTACTGCCCTGAGAAAATCTTTAAACCTTAAACCAAAAATATCCCCTGAAGTCTTAAAACCAAACAATAGTTTAGCTTAACTAGTAAAGAATGTTGGCCTTGAACATTATGTTCTTTTAAGATCTATATGGGATCAAATTGATAACGAGCAACTTGAAAGATTAGATAGGAACCTTAGGGAGCAGTGAGTTTATGTTAAAGAGGGAGGAACAACTTAGAAAAGGAGGGTGAGAATGGTTGCACAACTTGAAGAATGTAATCAATGTCACTGAATTGTACATGTAGAAACTGCTGAATTGGTGTATGTTTTGCTGAGTATATTCTCAACAACAACAACTAAATAAATAAATCAATAAGGAAAAGCAAAAAAAAAAAAAGACTTGATTTCTCTCCATCATTTAGTTCTTTCTCCAATGCTGGCTTTATTCCAGGACTCCATGCTGTGTCCTCTGGTATCTTCAAGCTCACATCATCCTTGCTGGTTTAAGCTCAAGCTATCACTTAAAAAAAAAAAAGCCCTCTGGCTCACCGTGGTCCAATCCACAACCCATCATAGGGATGGCACAGGACCAGGCAGCATTTTGTTCAGTTGTACATGAATTGGGGGCTGACTTGACAGCTAACAACAGCTTCCTTCATTTTATAAATATTTGTCGAACTTCTACATGTCAGGTATTGTGCTAGGTACTGGTGTGAAATGATAAGCAAAAAAAAAACCATCACAGCATAGATGAGCTTGGAGCTGGATGCTGAAGGAACCAACCTAGTCTCAGAGGGCAGGGGAAGCTCCCCTAGGAAAATGACTCTCAAACTAAGAACTGAAAGGTAGGTAAAAGAACAAGATCCCAGGCAAATGGACAAGTATATACTAAGGCCCTAATGTGAGAGAACTGCTAAGAACTCAAAGCAGTCCAGGATGGCCAGAGGAAAGAGACAAGGTAGTCAGGTAGTCAGGGCCAAAGAGCAGACACTTTTCAAGTCACGTTAAGGACTTTGGACTTTATTTGAAGGGCAAAGGGATGGCATCAGAGGGTTTTAAGAAGGGAAGTGAGATGATCAGATTTGAATTTTAAAAAGATAATTCTACAGTGTGGAAATAGATTGAAAGGGAACCAGGCTTGAGGCAGGGAGATGAGTTAGGAGGCTGCTGCACTAGTCCAGGTAAGAGATCATGGAAGACTGGACTAGACTGGTGGATGTGGAAATTAATTCATTTAATAAATATTTTTTGAGCACTCAATATTCCCCAGTCATTGCTGTAAGCACTGGAGGTACAGCCATGACAAAAACACAAGTCCATGTTCTCATCAAACTTACATGAGAGACAATAACAAATGTGTAAATTTTTGTATGAGAAACTAACTTGAACT